GTCGAGCGAGGGAGGGGGGGAGGTGGTGTACGCAGCACATGTGAATGGGAAAAACCGCTAGGGAAATACGACTCCCCCCCCCATTCCCCCGCTGCCTACCACTTTCCGAGATTTTTCCTACGTCCTACCACTTTTTCCAATTTTGGGGAATTTCCCGAGAATTTTCCTATTTTTCCCGAAAATTTTGCTGGCGTGTATAGCACAGTTGAAAAGGAAAAACCGCGAAAGGTCAAAAACCGGGGACAATTTTTCCCAACTCCGCAATTTCTCTCACAGGGCAACTACGAGCCCCCTCTCCCAGCAACGAGCAAAAAGGCCTCTCTATGGCGTCCATGAAACAAGAAAAATCAACCATCAAAAAAATTTTCTCAAACAAATACGACCCTTTTCTCCTCCCAGCGACCAAATACGACCCCTCCCTGTTGGGGAGTCTCCGATGATGATGTGACCTGTTAATGATTCAACTTTATTGGCTTACGCTTCGGCGGAATCGCCCTCTTTGTAGCCTAGATGGAACTAAGCACTTTATGACTATCTGGCGGAACAAATAGGCAAAGCATCTTGCAATCAAAACAATGTCGAAATCTATGGGAAGTCGTGCATGCCGTACTCGCTATACTTTGCGAATACATTCGACAAACCACTGGAACAGTTCTTTTCAACAAATTCAGTCATTTGGAGCACTTTCGCTGCTAGGCACAATCGTTCCAGGAGAGGCAAACTAGGCCCAGCACAAAACCTTGACCAAAGCGCCTGTGGGAAAACTCTTCAAAATCATTCATATGAGTTTCGAGAACTGGTGTGCACAGCAAGCTGTGAAGTCATTCGAAGATATATTCAGGTTTCTAGGTATTTTTGGACATTCAAGGTAAAGCTAACTCGTTTAGTCAATCGAAGCTCGAGTGCCACCTTAGATACAAGTACCGTGATCCCTGTAGGCATCTAGCGGCATCGGAAACCTTGAGGACTAGGCCTTCTTAGGAGTTCATCTGTCATCTCGTTGGTTATCAAGTTCATTTGGCTGGTGCCGGTGACATTCCTTTTGCGAGCCAGGGTAGTCCAGTGGTTTCCTATAGCTCGAGGAACGGGGAGCTTTTTACCTTCACGTTAAGAAGTTAATGAAATAACCCAGTAAAGAGTTATTTACTAAGAAGAAAAGTTCTATATAAGCGTCACCGTCGTCATGTTGAGGCCTGTTGCCAGACGAATGTAAATTTCCAGATTCGGATACGGTAAGCGACAACCATTAGGCAGAAATGGAACTAACAGCCGAAATGGAGCGATTGAGAATCGATCCGTTGACCCATAGCCTGATCGGCAGTTATTGACGTATTTCGACTGGAATGTAATGGGCAGATAGTGGTAGCCAAATTCCCAAAAAATCTCAGCGAAGTCCATGCCAAATCCCTACAAAAATCTATTAATTGTTCTCGCCCTCCTTAGTTAACGACGGGCACTGTGTCAAGAACAGGGATTAGGTACCAAACGGTCTGCCGGATGACCATCTACACGTTAGTGCGACTCGTTTTCAAAATATTGCAAGAACGGTCCACCTTGCTTATCGGCCTGCCTCATCAGTCGTTGCAAGTCGCCAGAAACTGGAAGAACTGCGGTACCTTCCGAAAAGTTCACGTTGAATCTATTGGAATGTTCTCGCCCTCCTTAGTTAACGACGGGCACTGTGTCAAGAACAGGGATTAGGTACCAAACGGTCTGCCGGATGACCATCTACACGTTAGTGCGACTCGTTTTCAAAATATTGCAAGAACGGTCCACCTTGCTTATCGGCCTGCCTCATCAGTCGTTGCAAGTCGCCAGAAACTGGAAGAACTGCGGTACCTTCCGAAAAGTTCACCGTTGAAGGACCAATAAAGTATCAAAGTAAGTAACTGGAGTATAGTTATACATGATCTTGCTGTTTAGCCGCTGTTTAGTCCTGCCTCTGTTTTGCGGAGAGGTTCTTTTCGGGTCAGGGCACATCATTGAGGATTCCCATTAGGTGGGTCGCACTTGGCCGCTGGGGAAGAGGGGGCCTTACTCGGAGTGAGAAATTTTTTTTTGATAAATGATTTTTCTTGCTTCACGGATGCTATAAGGAGGGGGGGGATGAGTCGTATTTGCTTGCTGTTAGGAGAGCGGAGTCGTTTTGCCTCCTGAGAGAAAATCGCGGCGTTGGGAAAAAGTGCCCCGGTTGCGGTTGTTTAGTTTTCGCGGTTCACATGTGTTATATACCACCCCCCCCCCCCACTTGACAGCAAAATTTTAGAGAAGAATTTGGGAAATTTCCTGGAGATTCCGGAAGAACTGGGAAAGTGGTAGAAATTCGGGAACATCTAAGAAAGAGGTAGAGGCAGAATGGGGAAGAAGGGGGAGGGGGGAAGGGGGGGGGGCGTAATTGCCTCGCGGTTTCCCCTTTCACACGTACTGTGTACCCCCAACCTCCGCTTGACAGCTCGATCGTATCAGATGAGAGAACTAAGGGGGGGGGACTGTATCATGTCTTTTAGGGGGTGGCCATACGGACTCGACCAAAATCCTCAATCGAAGATGCGCCCTGGCTTAGCAGCTGTTCAGTCCAGCTCCTGTTTCACGAAGACGGTTCTCTTCGGGCTTATGTTTTGGTTGGAAAGTCGTTGCCTGGTCGACTAAGCCGGTTAGATGGCCAATGGCCGGCTCCTTCCTTGGGCAAAACTCCTTCCGATTGGCTGCTCGTAACTTTCCTTATTGAGCTGTTAACCAGTTAATCTATCAGACGTTAAAAAAATCGTTTATAGATGAGTGCATTGTTAAGAACGTAGGTTGTACTGCTTTACTACTTGCGCTGTGCCGTAGCAAAAGGGCAGAATGTTTCTTCTAGAAAACGAAAAATGATTTCGCGATGGTGATTAAACGACTTTCATGTTAATGTTAGCGTTCAAGATCGTCGACACAATGGATCCACTTCAGTAGAATGAGACATATAATTGAACTAGAAAAACGCTACGCTTCCTGCAAGAAATACTCCAAGCTGTCCGGTCTACGAAGCGCATGAGACTCTCTTACCACGCACTCTCACATCACAATGAACCGACATAAAATCATCAATTACTTTCAATTACTCGATAGTGGAAGTAGTCAATACAGTGACACGGCTCACCTGAAAGACTTACGGTGGTGTCTGATTCAGCCCGTAAGTCCCGGTCCGCTTACCTAACCACATCAACGCAGTAATTTCAAGCGTTCTTGGAGCAAAGTTAGGGATTACCTGCTGGTCAAGAGCTGGGGGCCAGCTACACATCGTGGTTCGTCTAGATCGGTGCAAAACGGACCACCTTGCTTTTTATAAGATCCCTCACTATTTCGTTTTCTTTTACTAGGGTCCCACTAACGTAGGGGCATTTTGCGGACTCTTTGTGAAACGCTAGCAGTAATGTAATGGAAATGAAGGCTTTTGTCAACATTGGACCTGATTAGCGGCAGCTCTAGGCTAAATGTATGAAAATATGGTGCCTCTTTTCAGATGACAGCATCCCCAGTTTTGCACCCCCGAACCGTTATATGGCCCCGAGGCCATTATAGCACTCGAAGGAGCATCAGAATTGTTGTATGTACAGGGGTGTTCTTTCATGTAATTGTTGTGTTATAATATTTTTTATAATACTCTATTGCACCTTACTGTGTTATTTTGCAGTATTTTCAACTCCAACGTGAATGGTACTTCTGTAATTTGACCCATCAGAGCAGTCGAATAAAAAATTAAAAATTCACCTTTAACTCTGTTTTGCGACCGAAGGAAATGTTGTACCGGAAAATAGCGCGCACTGATGTCACTAAGCTTTTTTTGTAATTACTTGTAGCAGGAGAGTTGAAGTTAAAGGCTGTTGTGAATCAAAGATCCTAGGCGAGGTCCACAGAGGCGTAGCAGTGCTATTTTGCCCAGCAAAAATCGAAAATTGAGTCATCAATAATTCCTTCCGGTGGATGGCGAGAGTTTACGGTTAACCTCATTGAAAAAAGGTACTGTACTATTCTTCTAGACACTAGCACTTGGAGTAGTGTCACGCAGTCCTGCACAAGCGAAACTCCTTGCTGCAACTTGCTGGGCTCCTTAGGTTTGTCCCCATCAGTTTCCATCCACGAAAAACCTTTCACTGTTTTGTTACACTGACGGTCACCATGGGATCCAGGTAGGATGGGAGATGTCATGCAAACAAACTGCTGTAGTACTGTTCCGAACATAGCAGATTTGTGCTGTTTGAAAGCCAATTGAGTCTCGAGTGCGTGGCGCATCTCCAGATTGCTTACGTCTTGTTCACAGTATCTGAGGCCCGCGGCAAGCACAAGCTACATTTAGCTCTCCACACAACCTCCTTGGAGCCTTTAGGTGGCAAAACCACTCCTGGTTCTTCATTGATTAATTCTGGATTACTTAATTTGGCCCTATCCTGCCAAGGCAGCATTTGGCACCAGTACGTGTGGTTTCGGTAGGGGCCCACGGCACATCAATTTTGCAAGGTCTCCAACGGGACAGGTCGTATCTGGAGAGGTGAAAAATTTAAATGTAAAATTCTGCCTCTCTAGGTGCGCTAAATATGGCCTTTATTGGGCCCTACTGTTGTAACTATATCTTTTAGCTGATCGGATGTCTGTGCATCCCTCTAGATGGATATAGGGGAGTTTCAGACTGCAGGGGCTTCCTCTTGGGGAAATGTGACCTGCCAGTAGGGTGAGATCTGTTTCTGCTATTTTTCCCCTATATTTAGTCAAAATAGCGTTTAAATGGCTCTGCAGTAGAGCCCTGAAACATCTCGTCTCGTACTTTCTAGCGACGTCCTTTCGCACTTACTACGAAGTATTCTATTCGACTATTCATTCTATTCACACAGGAAAACGTTGAATGAGTTCAGCAACATTTCGTAGCACTTTACACGTTGTGCTGTTGTTCATCATTGCGTTGACGCCGTTTTTTACCACGTTCCTCAATTGTCTGGGCTGTTTCTTTTCGAGTGCTATGATGAGAGGGGCGGGATCACGTGGCCCCGCCTCCTGAGGTCGCCAAGCCAATCAACGCATTCGCAGCTCGTTTAGTCGCTATCGAGCTCCATTACTCTACGGTAGCAATGAGTATGCTAGACCCTCGGCAATTTCTAATGCCAACATTTTGTCTTGATCCATCTGCTACATCACTGCTCAATCAACAACCTGCACAAAATTCTAGTGGTGGTAAACTTACCCATTCATTTCGTATTTCTGATCTATTAGAATCACCCAGTGACAAAGCCGATACCAGTACCGATAAAGGTAAGTCATTCTCTTCCTCGTCTTTTTGGCAATTTTCTTTCGGTTTTTGTTCTACCAGTTTTTCCCTAGAAATCGGTTTACTTTTTCTGTCTATTACTGGTATCATGGACACACAGTATTTATTCAACGAGTGAATATCACCCATTGCCACCTGTCAATTTCGGAACTCATCCAGCCATGTTGCGTACAATACAAACGGGCGATTTTGGGCAATTAGCCAGAACTCAAGTGGAAAATGATAGTGTTTACGAGATTTACGGGCGACATCGGATTATCCGATTGTTAACCTACAGATATTAGAAGGTCAAATATAGCCCAGATGAGCCAAGGTGTTAACGCAGGCGCTATTCTTACAGTGGAATGTACTCGTTTTTTCGATATCTCACTTTCATGCTGATCGTTTTCCAGATCATTCAACGACATCACGACCTGATACGCCAGAATCCGGCTGTTCACAAGTTCGGAGTAGTCCAAACGATACCAGCCCCTTAGGATCGAAGAAAGCTCGAAAAGCAAGAACGATCTTTACCGACAAACAACTACAAGAACTCGAATCGACCTTTGAGAAACAGAAGTACTTGAGCGTTCAGGACCGTATGGATCTTGCCCAACGAATGGGTTTAACCGATACACAAGTCAAAACTTGGTATCAAAATCGAAGGTCAGTACCATCAACTTGAAATTCTTCCTTTCTACTTGATTAATTTCACTTCCTTCTCATTTTTTTCTCATCAATTAATCGGTCCTTTTTTGAACTAACGACTACGGTAGGGCGGTCAAGTATGGGCTTTAACGTGCTCATATATGGTCCTTAGGATCTCGTGTAATATTCTCAAACGACAGCAAAACGCATTATGCGGCATTGTCCGGCTAATATAGATGATTAAATTATCGGGGCCGCGTTCTATTATTCCTGCGCTTATTAATAGCATAAAGTATTGCGTGTTGTTTTAAGAGGGATACCGCCATCTGTCGGCTACAGTCACGGAAAGAGATATGGGGGGAGGGCGCCAGGTCTCATCAGAGGGGAACGCTTTTATGAGGTGTGAAGTGCAGACGGCGTTCAGCACAGCTTGACAGACAGCTGTTCATATGGGGAACAATTCGGATCCTAGCTCAAAATGAAATGCTTTACTTAGCACCCAATTTAGCGCTCCAATCCAGAAGCCACAGCTCACAATGCTGGGTTACCGGCGCAATGGCGCGTTTCTTCTGAACCTTGCCATGGGAGAGCTGGAAGAAACAGCGCAGCGAAAGTTCTTCGGGTGGTGACCTGAAAATCACGCTCAAGTACGGAACTATTGAGAATAGGTCTACAGCAACTTTCAACCCTTACCTGGATCTGGTCTGGGTTAAAATCTGGCTATGCTCAAGAACCTGGAGCTTCAACTCGATCGGCACCTCCTTTAAGATAAAGCCAAAGTTGAAAAAGTGGTTGGACCAACTAACCCTCACTGGTTGCACCTGCCGTTCCTCATCCGTCCTGCAATCCCTATATCCCTTTGTACAGCCCACAGATCGTAAACCGTCAGGGTAGGACCGCTTCGGAGAGCAACTCGGCGACGGCGGCGGTGGAGGCATTTTGAACCTTCGCTGCTTCACCAGTTCCGGTTAACCAAGTTACTCTGATGAAAACTGTGAACCCTTGTAAAGCTGGGGCAACCTCGTCGGCCCTCATTTCATTGCTTTACCGAGGTTGATCTATCAACCTCTGACTGTGTGGTTTCTTGGCTTCACAGGATTTCACGGGTCTCCTTTTGATGGCTCGACACGTCGATAGGAAGCAGAAGCACCTATCCCCCCCGTTCGTCGCCCAACTGCGCCTCACTTCAGTAACACATTGGAAGGATAAAGGATGAAGTCTTCGCCGTTGATCAATCCCTTTGTGGGATGCGGCACGCATTCTACTTCCATTCAGAATCGTAGTGGCTTATTGAATGCGATGTGGCCTATACAATGACTTGCGGGGGCCAGCCGATGTACAAGTCAGTGTTTTATCCTCCCAGACGAATCTGGTACCAATTTACCGTCCCCGGAGGGTAGAAGGCTTGGTTGGCCTGGGCGGGAGTCGACCCGGGATTCTGAACCCAGGACCGTGCGAGTGATGAGCTTGTCACTCATCGCTTGTCATTACACCAAACTTGCCTCCGGTAACCTTTATATATAGCGATGAACATAAATGATTTCGGCTTCCGGGCTAAAGAGCAGGTCGTCGTTTTGCTTGTTATAGTGGGCTTGCTTTTCCTAATGAAGTGTCAGAATCCTTCCTACATCCTTCTTTTTCTCTACTGCGATACATCCTCCGAATATGATTCCACTTTCTTCAAAGCCGATTTTCAGGACCAAGTGGAAACGGCAAGCGACAACCGGAATGGAACTGCTCAATGAGGCTGGAAATTTGGCAGCCGTTCAAAATTTACTTCGCTCTAATCCCTATTGGGCCGGATATGTTGGCCAGTTAGGTGGTATACCAACACCTATCCCATTAATGATGGGTTTACCCTTATCAGCCACCTTACCATCACTTCCACATTCGCTTTCATTTGTCCTCCCACCAACGTCACATGTTGGTGGTCCAACAAAAGAGTCGACACCAGTTGATGTTGAAGTTACTACAGCAAACTAGCTACAGCTTGTGTCATTCTCATGATCTCTTCTTTCTCTCATGTTGTATGTGTAAAGAAAAAATTATAGCTGGATAAATTTTGTGTGCTAAATATGCAGGCGGGCACTCAAACAATCAGGTCTTGGGTCAAGCAAGCAGCCAAAGCAGTCAAGCATCAGCAGCAGCGGTAGCAGCAAATAGCTATAGACCTGCACATGTTGTCTGAGTTGGTGGACCGTGTGATACGGTAATGATGTTAATTAGTGGGCAAGATGATGCGACCGTAACAGCAGTGATTTTGCTCTTTATGGCGCCAGGGACGGGGGTTATGGGATGCTCTCACCCAACGCTGGTTATTATGCATTAAGGTACGTGCACGCGGAGGGAGGAACTGTTGCCCCCTCATTTTGTGCAGCTGTTATTTTATGTGACTGATATGAATATTGGTCCATCTAGTCATTGTCTTATTGTCTTTACAGTGTCTTTTCACTTGCATTATCTGATCTACCGATCGATATTGAATCATGAATCATCGTAGAAATTGAAGGAATCACAATTGTTAACTATGCGAATGTGTGTCATTTTTTTGAAGCAATTGTAAATTTTCTAAAACATATTAAGTTCTCACCCCCCTCTCGCCATTAGTGGGTCCCGTCACGCGTACATCATCATCACCGCACAGCTGTTGTCATATCGATAGTAATGCGCAACACCGTTTGTTTTCCCTCACAATTGCTGTGTTACATAACATACAATAATGATAATTGCTTGTGTTAATCTTTGCATATAAAGATCTATGAACGATAACTGTTATTATGGTGTTGCGTAAGGTATGGTGAGGATTCGAAAGTCATTTAACTGCCTTATTTAGCAGTAATTGATCGGTTTACTTAAGTTAATCTGTAAACCCAGACGGTTTCCTCGAACAGATAGATATTTAAGTGGAGGAGGAGAGACTTCACTTGTTCAGCTCGTAATGTGATCGTTCTCCTCAGGTTTTTTTGGCCTCATCATCTTCGCCGCACGTTTTTCAGCGATCTGTTGTGTGCGTATGTTTGACATTGAAATTGCTTTGGAAATTATGAAAGTTCACACTTCAACGTTTCACAGCTAGTAACGAGTTGTCAGCTTACAGTACTATCTTAAAGTGGAGCTCAAAGTTGATGAGGCGAGAAAGGGCCGAAAAAGAGCTCCATTTTGGCCCGTGTTTCGGCAGCAGCAAATCGCGTTGTCGTGCTTTGTAATTAATGACACACATACTCAACGGCAATCTTAGTAACTAAGATGTGATTGTCGTGGCTAGTGTGTGTTGTTCGAAATTGAATTTGCAGTCGATTGGTGTTGGTGGAGGAAACCGCCAATTTGGAGGAGTGGTCATGGTGTGAATAGAGATTGAGAGAGAGCTCGACCTCATCTCAATTACATATTCGACTTCTCTGGTGACGCATTAGCGCTAAACAGAGGAGATGTGGCTAGCGGCGATTTGTGGCGCGACGATTGTCGCGTTTCCTTCATCCGTTCATAGACACCGCGGTGCGAACAATTGCCCAGTCAGGAGGACAGGCGTCAGACGGAAATCCAGTTACCACTAAGCGCACCAAATAGCACGTCGAAACTGACTCTCTTTGGCGCACACACCACGACCACCACCATCACACACACCATTCAACGACGACGTCTTACTGTACTTCAATTATTCACACAGCGCTCAGCGTGACCGCACGTCATTAAACTGTTGTTGTTGTCGTTGACTGAACATTAGCCCTAATAGGAGGAAATTCATGAAATCTCTTAGACACTTCGCCTGCACGAGGGCATGTCGTAGGAGAGTCGTAGTTGACGATGACAAGGACTCATTGACACCCCCTCCTCCCACCCGATGACAGCGGTCGTTTCAGACCAACGGCGGCAGCTCAATTAAGGGTGACACTATACGACACAATGTTAATCGCCTTCTTACATATAACCTTGCTTGTAGTCGGTAACCCTTTTCTCAATCGAGATGGCGAGAAGAAAGATGAGTTATAATTGCCCACCCCATCATTCGCACACCACCTAAAGGACATAACAACGTGCAGGTCTCCGAAAATAAATTGCCAACGGAATCATCTCGTATTCCCACTCTTGGACGATCGCGATCTTCTAAAGAACATCTCTAATCGAAGACCTCTACCTACCACTATAGAACAAGGCCAACACACTAGACATGGTCATTTTACACGTCAGGGGAATTCACTTGCTGTTTACGATTACTGTACAAGTTCTTTGTAAGCGACTGTTCCAACTACAGGGCTGTATAAGAGTTAGGGCGAGATGCTCAGTGCCTTACAAGGACTATGATATTGGCGTTTAAATGAAAGGTTGTCTACGGACAAACTATTCCCCCTACCAGTTTACAGGCCTCAGACTGTCCCATATGTCGAGATTGGGGACAGGACAGACCCTGGCATCGGAAAGAATGTGAGAATTTTGCAAGATACAATCCCACCACCCCACCTTCCCCCCCTCCCCTCTCCCTTACGCTTTCCCAATGAATATTATCGCTATAATACACCTCTTTCCCTATCAGCAACCTACAGAAATGACAGCTTTGTGACTTGCTAAGTAAAGAGGCTGGGAGCTGGGGTACAGAGCGCGCGCGAAAAATCAACAATGGTAAGAAATATGTCCCGGGCTGAATAAGACCCCTATCCACTGCTAGACCAAATGCGACTCTTCCCCTCGTCAGAAGCCTCCAAGGACGTCGTGCTTGGTGGGTCCCGCGCAGTGAGAGGGCATACCTTAATGCAGATTTGGTTGAAAAGTTAAAAATAGGTAAAAATTGCGGACTAGTTGTTCCCTTGCCCCACTGAGGGGGAGAGCGGTATGTGGCAATGTAGTTAACGGCGGAACAATTCAAAAATTTCTTGTAGCTGACGAGAAGACCTTTTCCTCCTCCCTTCCCCCGTTCCCCACGAATTTTTGTGGGCATCGGGTTTTTTTCATCGCGATGATTTCCCCTGATCCT